ACATTATGTAATTGCTAAGGGACATATATTTCACCTGAAAAAATAATTGCAATGAATATACAGAAGGGAACATCCAATATTATTCGATTTAAGATGAACTTTCCATTCGTCCTTAAAAAACTGAAGGAAAAAGAAAAACAACAGATCTAGAAGTGGGGCTTGCTTAGATTCTGCTTAATGTTTGTGTAACACTAAAGAGAAAGAGTAAAGGGGGCTGTGCTAACAGGGGCTTTCTGCAGATCACTGGCAGTTTGACTGCAGTGGAGAGTAATGGGGCTGGCAGGGCGGAATCAATTACTGGCCGCAACAAATTTTCCCACAGGTCAGAGCTTGGGAAAGCACTACTTTACCGCAGAGCAGACAGCTGGCAAAGAGCATCCACTGGGAAAGGAGCCGGCTCTCTTTTAAAAAGAGAAAGCCTTTTTATTGTATACATAATATTCAACTAATCACAAACTGACCCCCTTCCATGATTTTATTTTGTCCAGGTGACGGTTGCGGTGCCATTCATACAATATCCATCCAGTCTAAAAAAAACTTGAGCGATTTTTGAAAAGAGCAGTGTTTAAGCCAAGGCAAGCTTACTTTTTTTTGGTGAACTACTTTAAAATTAGCAGGCACGTGCTAAAGTACTGCACAGTAGGAATGATTAAGAAGGATAAATAAAAGCAATTAGGATCTAAATAAAATGTTAGTAATATGTTCTCTCCTTTGTGTTTCAGTTAAAAGCTGTGTTGCTGAGTTTTTGTACCAGTTGAAGGTGCGGTATGTATGCTATGACTTACTAGATTAGGAATTACTGTAATCCATTTGGTTGCAACAAAGGCATCAATTACTACTTTTAACTACTTTACTGTCTTTTGATAAGAGGCTTTTAAAATTACCCAGTTGCCTTTTGTAAAATAAGCTGGATTGTACTAGTGCACATCCATTTTAAAGCCTCTGTGTGTTTTGAAGCCAATGTTTGTCAAAATAGCCTTTCTTACTCTACCAAATATCCCACATATGAATATAAAAGGAAGACTAACTAATGGCATTAGAACTAAAAATCATCACCTTGGTCTTGAGTGTCATCCACATAAAACACATGAGTATTATTTGCTTAAAACAACAGTAATCATATGGTTTCTGAAAATAGAGCCAACAGGCAAAATAAGTGGAAAGCAGCCGAGGTGTGAGAATTAGGCCCTGCTGGACACCACACACCAATGGAGAAGGGGTTCTGCAGTCATTTGATACAGTGACAAAAAGTTATTTTAGCCAACACAATCAGAACCACTCTTGTGTCGTACCTCGGATGCTTGCACAGTGCTCTGAGTGTGAAAGCAGAATGCTATGGTCCACAGGATTGCATGGTTTCCTGAATCTGTTAGTAGGAGGTCCTTAAAAATCCTCAACAATGTAGATTCTGTGCAATGAAGATGTTTAAAGACAGACTGAAAAAGAAAAAAATCAAGCACCCAATTTTCCTCATGAAAGGCTTCAAAGTGGTTCATAGAATTTTTTTTCTCCAAAATCTTTAAGAAAGGGGGAAGCTCCACATGTGCAAAGCTGAGATGATACCATAAAACTCTGCCAGCTGTAACCACAGCTAAGTATTTCTAATGTATCCATATTTTCTTCTCTTTTAGTTACACTATATATATATATATATATATATATAGTCATACACAAAATGAAACTTGTCTCATACTGAATTGATCTGCAAACAATGTTCTTCCTGTGGCAACACAATGTGTGGCCTTATAGGTAAGCTGTCTTCAGAGAACTCCTTTTTCTGGAAGGACATTACACTCTGTCTCCTGCTGCTCTTATTTGTAATCTCCCTTCCCACTATTGTGAACTTACAAAAAGATGAATGGTAACAGGTAGCTGATAATCATGAGGTCGCTGTAATCTAACAGGGCTCAATAGAGTTTCATTCGGTTAACCTTTTTTGCTCAAAAAGGACGATTTTCTTCAAAAGTGTCGGTAAAGCTATCAAAGCCACTGAGCAGGCCTGACCTGAAATCTGTCCTTATAAAAACAACAAAACTGAATGAAAAAAAGAAACAAAACATCATGCTAAACAAAGAAACAAGGAAGTCAACATATCCTTCTTGGCTTTACCTATCCAAAAAGCACAAATAGAAAGGATGCCAACAAAGGCAGGAAAGTAAAGAATGAGCAGGCGGGTGTATTGTGGTCAAACAGTGGGAATTGATCCCAGGCCTGGTCTGTTCTTTGCCCGATATAGCGCCTGGGTGCTGACTGGAATAAGAGGGGACAAGCAGGAAGCTGTGGCCCATAGGATAACATTGTTGTACGGAGGCTGTCTTGGAGACATTTCCCTAAGTCGGACGGCTTATTTAGGTCCAACTTGGGTGGCATTTTCCCTGCCTTACATAATTTCATACCTCTTGCGTGCGGCAAAGTTCAGGCTTTTCCCCATCCCACCCCCCTCCTATTTTCAGACCCCAGCTGAATAAAACATGAAGAAGGAAATTATCTCACAAACTCAAGTACCTCCCTGATGGCCTCTCTCCCCACAGCAGCCACAAAATGCAAACTTCACTGCAGCAGTTGCTGAGTGGCAGGTATAAGATGTCGAGATGGTGTGCACACAGGATGCAGGCCCGGCTGTGAGCGTCGCTGCTGCCGACTGCCACAACGGTTGACATAGTAAATCAATCCTGATGGGAGGGCATGTAAGACTAGGGAGGTGGAAGGGGTGGGGGAGGCTGAGAAGGAGACCTCCGTCAGACACACTAAACCAGCCAGGGAGAGACTGTCGACGGGTGGGAGAACACTCGCCGGGAAGTGCTCACACGGAGATTGAGTTACCACAGAATTAGATCAGGGCTGTGGGAAACAGCACCTCATGAACACGCCCACACACTCCCGTTCACACAAACACACGTAAACACTCACAAACACACACCGGCAGACACTCGGGCCGCACTCTTGCACACAAAGAGTCACCCGGGGAAACCTAAGGGAAGATTGAGGAAGGCAGCTGGGCACACGCCAGTTTCAAACAAATGGTTGCTTATACATTTTAGCTTCCTGGCATATGGTTTGAGAGCAGTTTCTTCTTCACGCTGGTGCTAAATTACATCCAGAGGTCACTTGCCAGGCTGGCATGCTGCTAAGGCTGTGCAGCTTAAAGATAATCTAGCGAAAGGTGTCAGTCATAAACAAATGACCCGAAACAAAACTGATCCAAACAGTTATGATGATCACCTCCACATTTCTGATGTCAGTGCTAAAAGGTCAAAGGCTGTGTCTGAACGTACACCCTAACCCCTAAATCCCTCAATCACTATATAGCGCTAGGGCTTTATAATGATCATGGCGGATGTTCAGACACAACCAAGGTTTTTTGTTAAGAAATATATCATAATTAGGACACTTTAGGGGCCAAAGAAATGTCGGTTCCAAATGTAGAGGACCTTACCGGTGAGGTGATAGAGGCTTGTGTCCACATAATGGGAGCCACCTGGAAAGCAGCAAAGCTCCATTACTACAATAACAGGTCATGAAAGGTTCACTGTAGGATGACAATACAAGAGATAAGGCTTTGATTGACCGAGCTTCCAAAATTTAGTCTGTTGCAGTTTCAGTGACAGTTTTCCTTTTAGCATAAGACAGACATGTTTGTTAACCAACCATTATGCTATGTGTTACACTGTTGCCTACTGGACCTGCAAACATGTTCTACTGCTAATTCGCTCAGTATGACAGAAATGGGTTCGTTCTTAGTGCACATGTCCAGAATCTGAATGATGAAGTAGATTCTAGTTCAGGGTTAGTATGAACAGGAAAATAGAGGATAGAACAATATTCAGATTTTTAAACTGCTTTCTCCATTTTTTTCTGACAGTTCTAAGATGAATGAAGATCTTAAAAGAGATCCATCCATCCATCCATCCACTGTTGCCCACTGCATATAAAGTACTAATTACAGAGAACTATTAAAAAAAAATGTAGATCCAAAAACTGTGTGCCCAACTATAAACAATTAAAAAGAACAGTTCAGCTTTTTAAAAGCGAGATTCTGTTGAAAAGTTGGGAGTTTTTAGTATCAAATCTCTACAGTACATACATTAACTCTCTAATATCATGCAAATTGACATTTTACTTATGCCTAAAGATGAGATCATGTTCATTTCCAACACTGGACATGGTCTTCAGCAACAAATGTTGATGCAAAATCAGATGTATGGGCATTTGATTTTATGTCACCGTTGCACCAAAATGCTAAAGTCTGCAGTTTCATTCCAGTTAGGAAGAGGTAGTCTACATGCTGCACTGTTAATAACCTTCAATGTAAAACATGTTCATCAGAACAGGATCTAATAGGCTGAGGAATTTGATCAGATTAACTTTATAATGTAAAAATGAGCCATCTTAAAACTAAGAGGTATTTCTAAAAAAAAAAAAAGCTCTTTTATTGAGTTCTACACTGACTTAATGCCAAGAGTTTTTATTTTTAACATACAAGCATATACTACTTCAGCGATAGTTTCAAGGTGTTACTCTAATGTGTGTCTTGTACTGTGTCTTTTGGTTGTGCTGTTCTTTTTACATCTCGTTGCAGGTGATAAAGCAGACTGAAAATGTTTTATCATTATCTCCTTTCTATCTCCTATTACTTTCATCTTTTTTTCTTCTTTCTTTTTTTCTCTTCTTCTTTTTTTCCTCTTCTGTTCTATTTACATTGCATTGTCCATATAATCTGTAAAACTCCCTGCATAATTATAATAAAGCAATTTATATGCATGAAACAAGTGGGACAATATGGCAATAGCCAAACTGCTCCACTTGTGAAAGTAAAATCTGTTGGGCTCTTTTTGCCATCAAAACAATTATTCTTATTGCCACATTGGCAGACAGGACACTATAATAAAAAATAAAATAAAAACATACAAGCATAGGGATTCTGAACAAATCCTTAAGGTATCCAGTGTGTGCAAATGGGAATGTTTATTGTATTAAAAAGGGTTAAGAATACGACATGTTACAGAAAAACTGAGGAAAATTATTGTTATTTTCTTCTTTTTCTTTTCTTTATGTGAAAAAATTAATGTGGTTGTCTTTGTGTTTTCTTCTATCTTCATATGAGAGACTCGCTTCATGCTGTACCTGAAGTTATGGAAATATCTATGACCTGCTGGGAGCAGGGATTGTTGATCTTAACAGCAGTTGTTCACGGGAATCAAGCTCTCATCTGCACTTGTCCTGCTCCCAGTGCACGCAGTTAACTACTGACCTGATGGAGCAGAAACAGCTGTGTCTCAACAAGGTAGTGGTCTGTGAGACAGCCGGAGGGGGGGGTATTTCCTCTGATGGACTGAACAGACATGTCAGGCAGAGAGCGGGAACTCTACACTATGAACAACAGGTCTTTGATCACATATTTTCATAAACCGGACATCTTCAAAAATAGATGCATTTGTTAAATGTTCTTCTTTTTACAGTTTAATTTCATGTTGCATTGTAATTATGATCTTAATGTTGTTGGATGGTCATGCAAAATATATGCCAAAGCATTTATTTAAATTACATTGCTGCTTTTTTTTTATATTTGTTTGTTTTTCTTTTATATACTATCCCAAAAACACAACTAAAAACATTAAAATTACTCGCAATTACTAAATAACGGAAATAACACTTTACAAACTGAATAATGTTTATTTTTATAACTATGTATTTATTTATGGTGGGGGATTTTTTGAGTGCTTATTTATGACACTTAAGTCTTTTCAGGTAAAGTAATGTATTGTCATTTTAAATTTTACCAAAGAATATAGGATTAAAAGACTAAACCTGCACCATTTTAGAGATTTTTGGTTTAAGTTTTAAGAAAAAAGGTTGGATTTAACTCTCACAGCATCCACTGAAGAACAGAACAGTGCTTCTCATCTGTTGTCTAAAAACAGAACCTGAGCTAAATATTCAAACCACAATCCTGCCTCATGCAGCTGTTCATTTTTGATTTTAAATCTAATTTGTCAAAAAACAAAGTTAAAAAAAAACAGTAAATTAAGATTAAAATCTAAGAACCCCTGTGGTTTGAAAACAAAAAAAAAGTCTTCAAGTAAAAAAAGAAAGATGTATAGGGATGCATTTAAGCTTTTCCACCCAGCATATATCTTAAATTAACACGTCATTAAGGTGTTAGTAGATTGAGGTTGCTGTTTTTTTTAGCCACGCCCATCTCATTGAACAGGCCCCGCCCCCTTCAAGCAGAGCCAAAGTAATCCCAGCAGAAGCAGATCCTGCTGATCAAACTGTTGCTCAGACCCTCCGCAGCCAGAGCTCTCTGTGCGCCTGGAAATCAGAATGAAGCGAAGCCTGAACTACAGCTCATCAGACAGTGAGCTGGACGATAATGTGGAGGTGGAGAAGGACAGTGGAGATGAAAATGGGTAGGACATTTTTTTCCCAGTTACCTTATGTTATGTTTGTTTGCTTTGTTTTTGTTTTTTTTTTAAGATTAAGTAGGCATTGTGTCTGAATTACCACAATAAATGTATCATATGTAATTTCAATGCCAATCTGACATATATATTTATACATTTGTATTTATCTTTTAGTCAGGCTTACTCTCCAGGATCCATGTCACCCACCACCACCACCACTCAAGTTCAAGCCAGAAAAAGGCGCAGAGGGGTATGCAAAAGTCTAGGACAAATTGCAAACTCATTCCATTTATTAATACTTGTAATTTTTATGTTTAATATAGATATGTCTTACACTGAAATGTTTTCAAACAGATAATAGAGAAAAGGAGACGTGATCGGATCAATAATAGCCTGTCAGAGCTGAGAAGACTGGTGCCAAGTGCTTTTGAAAAGCAGGTGAATTGCCATTAATTTCTCCCAGCCTCTGAGCCTGAGCTCAGGCTGTTTTGTTGTTGTTTTTTATTTAAATATAGGTCACATCCATGTTAATCTGGAATTAAAATAACAGCATTAATCTTCCTATTTCTCAGGGATCGGCTAAATTGGAAAAAGCTGAAATTTTGCAAATGACAGTGGACCACCTGAAAATGCTTCATGCATCTGGAGGAAAAGGTAAATACTCCTGTGACATTGCGATGCAAACCTAGACTACCTGCTGTAGATTTATGCTTCATTAAAAGCTCTGTTGTCTCACTTGACAGGTTACTTTGAGGCCCATGCTCTTGCGAAGGATTACCGCAGCTTGGGCTTCAGGGAATGCATGGCAGAGACGGCCCGCTACCTGAGCTTTGTCGAGGGCCGGGATGGTACAGACTCCCTGCGGGTGCGTTTGGTGTCCCACCTCAGTAACTATGCCTCACAGAGAGAGGCGCACACTGGACTGGAACACTTGGCCTGGAGCTCAGCTTATGGGACAGCCCCTTCCCCTCTCCCCCACCACCTTCTTCTACAACACCCTCAGGGTAGGACACCTGTGCCCAGAACCAACAGCAGCCCCCCCTCTTCTTGCTCCTCCTCCTCCTCTGCTTCATCCTCCTCATCCAGCGAGGTTTCTGGAACATCCAGGCTCAGTATGCTGTCCCCGTCAGAGTCACTTAGAGTACCTCCTAATGGCTCCCTACCCCTCACTCTACCTGTGTCAGCGTCCAAGTTGTCCCCACCACTCGTCTCATCTCTCTCCTCACTTTCAAGCTTCCCCCTCTCCTTTGGGGGCTTTCCTCTCATCTCCCCAACGGCTGTCAGTACAATAAATCCCTCCTCCACCATGTCAAAGCCTTACAGGCCTTGGGGAATGGAGATTGGGGCCTTCTGACGTTGACCACTGGACTCAAGGCAACAGCTGAGCTTGCCAACAGATTGTGTCTTCAGCAGTTCCTATAGCAATACACTACAAGAAAACTTTTTATTTTATTTTTTTACTTAAAAATACATTTGAGAAGTTGCAGGTGGATGCCATGCCCTCTTAGAAATTGATTTTCTTAAAAGGTGACTTTTTTTTATACCCTTCAATAAATTTAAACTGCTATTAATGCCTCCAGGTCGAGGACTGATGTGAAGAATGAATTAAAGATCAACAGATTATCGAAGAACTTTAGAGATGCAATCCAAAAATTGTAATCTGGCTACCACCATGGCATGAGTTGGGGAATCTGGCCCCCTGGGCTAGATTAGGAAATGTTGGTGGCCACTTATGTTTCTTCTACCTATGCACATTATTTGTAACTATCACCAAAAACTTTTGTCCGAACCACTAATAAAAGAAACAATGTTTTTAATGCAGGATAATTTCATCATCCACTGATATAATTGAGCCAAAATTGTTATAACTATCAGGTCTCTGTGTGCCAATGTTACTCAGTTGCTGAAATGCACAGAAAACAAAAGAGGCCTTAAGTATGCTCCTAAAACCTGCTGCTGTTACACCTGATATGCTTGGGGTTGGCTAGATCTAAAAACAGCTATGACATCATTATGTTTAAATGACTGTTTATAGATAGTCAACATAGAAACCTGGATTTGCAAACCAGCCACTTATTTAAAAAAAAAAAAATGGTGACCAAACTCTTAGGGCACAAGACTACTGGCCTAATTATTCCTTGTTTGAGTTCAGCTCAGATGACTACAGATCTGTGTATTTTAAAGATGAAGTTGGTCAATTCATCTGTTTTTTTTTTATGTGTTTTTTTCTTGGCGATATTAAAACTATGTGCAGAAAAAGAAATGTTATGTTTAATGGCTTACACCCAGAAAGGTAAAATAAATGCCTTTAAATATCTGTCATAATTTTTGTATTTTACAAATAAAGCGGGTCCAAAACAAATTTTTAGTATTTTTCTGTTTTTCATTTGACCCTAAAAATGCAACTGGTTTAAAATGTGTATATTTACCTTTTTATGATTCAGTCTTTACACTTTCCGAACCCTTAGTCTCTCTTCATTCCATCTACTTGCACATCCACCATAAGCCTCAGAACTTTCAATCAGCAACTGAACTCTGTTTACTTAACTTTACATTTAAGTCCCTTTTTTTAAAAATCCATCTTTTCAGACAATTTTTTACCCTGCGTACCCAAATGGTTCTATTGCGTTTGCTTGTTGAGTATATCTCCATATATTTAAATTCTGTTCAATGTAAACTTGATTTACTGATTTTATTGTGGTGTGTTGTAAGATGGCTTGAGTTTCTTGAAAAGAGCCCATAAATAAAATATAATTATTATTATAATTCAAGATTCAGCGGTTGAAAGAACTTCTTCCTATTCATCCAGTTACAGGGTTCTTTCCAAATAAATGCTACAGCTGCATTATTCCTACAGTACAATAAAAGTTCATTATAAGCTAATAAAATCCTGGTCATTGACTAGCAGGTCCTCTCCATGTGCCAGGTTGGAGTAACAGAATCCAGAAGCATTGTTGCCCTTTTGAATACCCAGGAAATCATTAAGAGCTGGAGGAAATCCTTTACAATGTTGTCCTGACCTCACCAGCCTGGGTTGGTCTGAAACGGAGACAATAGTGTGAACAGGATGAGGACATTGGTGCAGAGGGAGATTATTAAGTATCACCAACACAGAAGCAGATGGTCTCATAAATTACAACTTGACTCGGGTGGGTTTTCTGGTTTTCTTGCAATCGATTCAGATTTTTACACTGTAGTGAGGCGGAACTACGGTTCTATAGACCTCCAGCTTTTTTATGTGGGGCGGATGTGAACAAATCCAAGTGAAATTGCTTTATCATATGCATTATTAAGTCACTAATGCAAGTGTGTTACTTCCAAATGTTGATCTGTCATGGAGGATGAGTCTGAGCCTTGGTCGGACACTGCCATCTGCTGGTAGAGAATTACACTCACACCAAAGGACGTTTGGGAAATTAATAAAAACAAAGTTGGTATTTTGGCCATAATCACTTTGCAGAGATTTCCCCGTCAGTCAAGCTGGGAAATGACAGAATGATTGCCGCACACCTGAAGAGATATGGTTGGATATGGCAGGCTGTATTGATATTTAGTTGAAGCGCTGTCCTCGTTGTTGTTCCAATTGTTGATCTCTAAAATAAGATTCTTCGTGGTCAAAACTACATTCCTACAAGCCAGAAATGTACATATAGATATCCTAAATTACATTTTTTTTTCCCAGCAAAAATTTAATTTCTAGATGCAAAAAATGTAGACAAAATCCTTGTTTTCTGTTCTGGTGTTTCTGATGTTCAAATGGTTCTATATCTTTAATTCCCTGCTTGCTTTTTCATCCAACTTATATACTAAATAATTAGCTTATCTCAGAAATTGACCACACACATCCTGTTTTCTTATTAAACAATAACTTAAACAGTGAATATTTTACAGTAAAACCTCGTTTTTCTTTAGCAGTAGTAAATTGTAGAGTAAGGGGTTTGTTATGTTGTTTCCCTATCCTAAAGAGGCATTAGATCCAGTGTGGTTCTAGACCAAATGTACCAGGGGGCCGGGAGGAGGCCAACTTGTTTTCATGGGGGCACAGAAAAGCCTGAAATAAAAAAACAGGGCAAGGGATTCAAATATATTAAGATAGCTGCATGAAG